ATTAGGAAAAACCATCTTATACCATAGTTTAGATTTTCGGCAGCTGCTGGCAAGATTTTAGGTGTCCTAGAAATTCTCTAACCTGGGTTAAGTACATAAAGCACTAAACCAAAATTAGGTGCTGTTTTTTTAATAGTAAATTAAAATTCAATACCCTAATAATTTATGACTTAGTTATATTATAGACAAATTAGGAAATTACTTGCAAATATTTCAAAGTATGTACAGAAAAGAGAGAATGAAATCTAGACTAATCTGTGGTAAAATGTATCCTTCTATAAGCAGAAACAGAAATAAAGCTTATTCTAATTAGCTCCTCTGAAATACTAAAAGTATCCATAAAAATATTATAGAGCAAAATTAAAATTATTTTACATTTCTGATTAAAAGCCATTATCAGCTATTATTTTTGCAATAAATAATATCTGAGGGGTCAATGATGAAGCATTCAATTACGTTCTGAGGATAAATTGAGGTAACATAGGAGAAAGCACAGAATGGTGCTTGGGCAATACCGTATGCTTAACAAAGTTTTAATATTTTGTAAAACTGGAAGCAAAAGGATTTTACTACCAACAAAAATAGTACTGTCGACTGAAAAAAAACGCACAACGTGAGAGTTGTGGGTGAAGTTTTATCTGGGGCAAAATGAGGACTACAGCCCGGGAGACAGCCTCTCAGAGAGCTCTGAGGAACTGCTCCGAAGGGGTGGGGGGAAGGTCAGTGTTACATCTGATTTTGGTGAAGGGGGTGCGTGCAGTCAAGCACACGTCTCAGCAGAAGGCCGTTGCTGGTCACGAGGAGCAGATGTCTCCGTGCACGATCTTAGTGCTTTTCTAGACCTGAGGAGGTGCAAGACATGCATGGGCTCATAAAACCTCCTCCTGAAAATCTCTCTCTGAAGCCCTGTTCTGCCAGTTTTCCCCAGAGCACAGAGGGCCTCATTCCTGATCTCCACCCTGAATTCCTTTCAGGATGTGTGGAAGGTCAGCAGCTACAGACGTTTGTGACTTAATCCTTATAGAGGCAGACGGCAAATGCCAATTTTTAGTTGGCAGTACAATATTGTGCAACATTAAGGGTCAAATCAAATCACAGTTTATCATGGCCATAAAACCAACTCCAAAACATTCGGTTTACCCTTGCAAAACTCTTGTAAATCTTATGCTTGTAAAATATCTGTATTAGATACTATCACATAAGTAGTGGCATTTGTTTGCTGAATGACCGACCAAATTAGTGGTCAAGTAGTTTTTACTTTACTAAAACTAAGAAGCCACACAAAGTATTAAGAAGAGTAACAAAAGTGTGAAGCATGATTTCTTGTTTTGTTTCTTAAAAAATTCACACAGCTATATGCACAGGAAAAAAAGATCAGGAGAGGATAAAAAAATTAACAATGATTTTACTGCTGTTCCACGAGAATGTGGATCATTTTCATTTCCTTCTTAGTAGCGGTTTTATGCATCTGAACAAATTTTCTACTAGTGTTTCCAGTAAATATTTTTAAAAATAATTTAATCCAAAAAAGTACAATGTAACTGTGATACAGAATTTCTGAAATCTATACATATCCAACCATCAATTTAAAAAGCAACCTAGCACACGTTTACTTAAAAATCATTTGAGGAACTTCCGAAATCCTTTATTTAGAGTAGGCAGAGGTCCTGAATTGAAAAACAAAAGACCTATTTATGAACAAAAGAATCTCTTTAAAATTTTCCAAATTACTTTAGTTTGCCAGACCCTCCTCCCATGGTACTGTAAAGCAGTAAAAACAATAGGTTTTTATTGTGAGGCAGACTTCTTAGCTGAGCAAATAACCATAGAACCCGAATCCCCAAAATATGCGGGGTTGCGGGGGATGGGTTGAGGGCAGGGAAGAATAGGATTTCCAGACGTTCTCAGCAGTTCAGGACAGGGGGAAAATGTAATTTTTCCTGCAAGGGCCACTGATGCACCTTGTAACCAAAGTCTGTTTTACCGACACCCATGGTGATCAGCTGTGCCTTTTGCAGAGAAATTTAACTACTGAACAGCTGAAAGGAGAAACAAGATTTAGTGAAAAGAGCACCATGACGACTAACAACATTGCCCATATTAAGCTCTGTATTTTCTAAGTCAGAGTTTGGGTCATGTAAAAGTAAAACTGGCCCCAGAGAAGAGAGCAGTTTCTCACAGATTGCCATTTGAATCTCAAATGACCATGTTTCACAGCATGCTCAATACATTCCAGCATGTAACTGCATTTTAATTTCCTAAAACCACAGGATGTAAGTTTGATTTCAAATAGTTTCTGGACTGTGATATTCAATACTGATAAAACTGTATGATGTCCTCCTCAAAGTTCCAACGATTCAGCATATGGAAAAGGACCTTCATTTTCTTGGAAGCACTATTATCAGAGAAATTAACTCCTCTGGCTTTTGTAAATGAATCCTAAACAATGAATATTAAGAGCTAAAGCTACTGTCATAAGAAATGGAACTTAGATTACAGGAAATGAACAGGCTGTATATTCCTCACTCACGAGGGTGTTGTACCAAGTCCTGGACAAAACCTGCAGGTATGAGACTAAATTTTCTTTGCCATGAAATGCTCATTAGTGCTTACTTTGGAAAATGAATTCAAAATATATTAACATGAATGAATCTTTACTTGAATGCCCATTTAGTACATGGAAATCATGCAGTCACCTTTCCAACTTTATAAAACAGGGAGAGTCTGTGACTTTTATTATTATTTTTTCCTGTGACTGTTTTAATCTCCAAGTATACGCAAGAAGAGAAGCAGATCTATTTTAAAGAAAATAGATCAAGAGGGAAAAAGGGAAGGTGGAATTGTGTCATAAGTTTGGGAGTCGGAACCAATTTGAGATCATATTATTAATCAGTTGGAAGGAACTTATAAAGACAAATTTTTACATGTGAACATCAAACAATGTACTAAGATGTTCAACAATTTTCACCACAGGGACTGGCTCTGACCTGACCTTGAGAAAAGATAAAGGGAAAAATTTTTTTGAGAGGATAGAGTGGTTAAGTACAGTTGACCTTGAACAACACGGGTGAACTGCATTAAGTCCACTTATACTCGGATTTTTTCAATAGGAAATACTACAGCACTACACGATCCAGGGTTGGCTGAATCTGAGGATGCAGGTACAAAGGGCCAACTCTAAGTCGACTACACATGGATTTTCAACTGGGTGGAGGGTTGGTGCCTAACCCCCAAGTTGTTCAAGGGTCAACAGTATATGCTTTCCTCTAAAATACTATTGCCTCTTGAGCCTGACTCCAAAACTAACTGACAAATTCAATACGCTTGTTTTTAGGCAACAAATCTATTTAATCAATGCGGTAGAACTTAGAATGAAACTCTGATCAGTAATTTAAGGTACAGGAATGCAAAGCTTTGGCTGCTCTACGAAACCTAAATATCTAGAAAACCTGGAGCTAACCTCGAGGTGCCTGGCATATGGGCCCCTATGGCCACTCTTTATCAGATTCTAAGGTATCATCATGTGTAAGAAGTGCCCACTCTTGATTTCATAACAGCTTTTCCAGGAGATAACAAAATACAAAGGTACATGAACCAAGTTTTTAATGAAAGAAAACCTGACTTGTGGAAAAAAAAAAAAAAATGCACATCTTAGAACAGAAGAAATGACTGCATTTCTTTCCTCGTCCTCTTTGTCTTCCTATCTGATTTGTCCATTTACTTTCTTCCTTTCCCCTGACCTTTCCATTCCTCTTTCCTTTTTTCCTAAAATTAGCCTAAACCGCAGGTGGCTAGTAGGAAAATGTTTGTGTTCTTAAGAATTTATGCATTGGGCATCTCCTTTGGTGGGCTGTGAAGACAGAAAGGTCAAAGAGCATCCACAGAAACACCCAGAAACTTCAGCCTGGGGGAAGACATGCAGTACAACTTAATGCAACTCATCACAGGGCAGGAGAGCATTATGACTTGCGCCTGACGAGCAAAGCCACAGCGAACACGGTGAGGGTGGGGAGGGCCGTGCAGAGGAGAACTGCTATAGACGGTGAGTGGTACTCAGATGACAGGGAGGGCAACAGATCTGCATGCTTCCTAGGAGAGAGGGATCAGGGCACATAAAGGCAAATGCAGAAGAAACCTCTGGCATAAACGGGATGCAGCACCCTAACCTGCCTAACAATCACCAACACCAGAGTAAGAGGGGGCTATTCTCAATGTGTTTGCTTTATTTTAATCCTCATTATAGCTCAATATGAAAGGTCTTATTATTATCTCTATTTTGAAGGCCAGGAACCTGAGGCCAGAGAGATTATTAAACGGCCTAAGGGGACCCAGTTTACCAGCTGATGATGGAGTCAGGGTCTGAATGCAGGAAGTCTGGCTCCAGGGCTATACTTTTAGTGTCTGTACCTGTCACCAGTGCACAGTATCCAAAGGAGGATAATAAGAGATAAAATACGGCTGGGGCTATTCTGGGCAGGAGACAGAAGAAAGGACAGAAAAGAAGAAGCACCAGAGACGCAAGAAATCACGAAAGTATCATCACAAAACCCATCACAGCCGGCTGGCCCTCGTGAAACCATTCCACCACTTTATTTGGTCCAACTGGTCGATACTTCTATCTCCTTTACATTGGCTAAATAATCCAGTGAACAATTTCTATGCACTGTGATAGTTGTGAAAGTAACGGAGAACAGAGTGAGCCCTCAAAGCACGCGAAAACTAACCAAATGGAAGATGTGTCAGTAAGTAGCACAAGCACATGAGGCTTCAGCATTTATTTGCAAAACCATGACTGTAAGTGTTGTGTGCGTGAGTGTTGTGTGTGCATGCACACGCAGCGTCTCCTTCTATCCGACAAACACACACATGTCCGTGCGCAGGCACTCACGCACACTCTACCATATATAAAAAGCTACCAGACCCTGTTAAGGGTCACAACCACGCAAGCGGATTCTGAAACAAAGCCAATGATTTCCGGCCAAGCTCTGCTCCAAACATACCTGCTTCTGGGTCCTGGTTGAAACGGCAGTACTTGGAGTTCTCAAGTGAAGGCAGGCACTGCTCAATGGGTACCCAAACGTACGTCTCAGGACACAGCAAATCAGATGGTCTATACTGACCCTAAAGAGAAGTGAAGAAAAAAGGCACAGGCATTACTAACACAGTTAACTTCCTAGTTACTAGACTCCAGAATTCCAGGAAAAGTTTTAATCACAAAGTTAAATGAAGTCAACCAGAAACAGCTTTACTGTAAATACTAAACAACCCTATTAGTAATTGCTTTCCCAGATCAAGAATGCACATTTGATCAAAAGGCCCTCAAACAAATGTATCACCATTTGGGATGCCTGTGCTCATGTTTCAAATTCAAGTTGTCTCTTAAGTGCTAGTTAGTAACACAGTGAAAATTCACATTTGACAGCATTATAATTTACATATGAAATAAACATTTTCCAAAATGGAATCTCACTACCCTTAGTCAGAATTTTTAAAATTTGTAAGCTCAGCTGATAATATTCTTTCCATTCTAATGTACTAACAAGTACTGTCTGGTCAACATGCTTCCATGAGCAATCTAGACTGATGAATGTAAAGAAAGAAAAAAATTTTTAAATTACAAAAATTTCAGGGAAATATCTGTGATAATAATCCTCTAAAGTTTCTTCAAACACTCTATTTTAGAAAAAATGATTTATGTATTTATAACCCGATCATGTACCCCAAATATAAAACAAAGACCATACCACAGATGCTGAAGAAAAAATCATTCACCTAAGGGTAATTTGGTAGCCAGTTAACAGAGGATAGTGCGAATTATGTGAAATCACTTAGTGAAAATTTTTAGACGTACCGGTTAATTAAAATTCCACATTTCTCTAAATTTTAAAATTCAAACTTCATCACAGAGGTTAAATCTAAACATTAGTTTTCAATTTTTTTAAGCTACAACCCATAGTAAGAAATACATTTTGCATTACAACCTAGTAAACCTATATGCAAATATAACACTAGAAACAAGTCTTTTACTATAGAACCCTTGCCCACATGCTGTGAAATCCTTTCTTTTCTTTTCTACTCTACTTCATCTTTTTAAAAATGATGCTCTTGGACTATTTAACACCAAAATTGCTTTTCATAAATAGCAAATGGGTCACAAGCTCAGAGACTGAAAAGCACTATCTAGCGCCAACCCCATGACAACGAATACTGCTGCTTAAGGGCTTAGCACTGTCACACGGCTTTGTATCAGAAAGGTGCTCTGTAACCAGCCTACCATGTGTGAGCAACTAGTGAAGCATCACTTAGGTTTAAAATGAACACCACACCCTCCCAGCATTCAAAACATTAGGGAGTCTGTAAGCTAATGGAGAGACTGTACATAAAACGCACGCAAACAAATTAATTCCTTTCAAGAGGCTGGGAGAAGAGTTCAAGGAGGATATGGAGTTTTAACGGGAACAGATTCACGGGCTAAGTCTGGGGCAGGCTGAAAAGGAATGAGAACACTCTAGACGAAGATTACAGCACAAACAAAGACGCAGAGTTGGGCCTAGTACAAGATAACTCTGGGGAACGTGAAATAGCAGAGCACTGCAGAAATGAAAAGGTAGGTTGGGGATCAGCTTCAGATACCATGTTTTGGACTTTATTCTAGATGAAAGGAATGCCTGCTGCCTGAGACAGAAGGCATGACAGTATGAAGACCAGAACTCAGGTCTCTGACTCCGATCTTCCTGCAGTGTTCACGGCATTGCTGATGCCTTAGTGTCCTAGAGCAATAAAGGTCACCTAGAAGGGGCAGGTCTAGGTGGGCCACACACTCATCTAATATTAAAATTCGAAGCACAGGGTTATTTAGAAATGAATTAATAATTTACTTAGGAGGTGTAATAAAGCCAGTTATTCCACTGATATCTACCTTTTCAAAAGCAATGTCATTCTCTCCATTAATTCAGAAAGTATTTTATTGCGAAAAGGGACAGTATGATGCGGTGCTGCCTACATTAACAAATCTGAACACTAGATAGCAGTCTAAAGCAGTGGTTCTAAATCTTTTTTTTTTTTTTTTTCCTTTTTGGTTACGGACTATTTTGAGAATCTAATGGGGGTGGGGGGAAGCTAAATATACAAGCTAAAGAAATAAAACTTCTAGGGGAAAAAAAGGAGTAAATTTTCTTGACATTGGAGTATACAAAGATTTCTTAGAACACAAAAAGCATTAACCATAAAAGAAAAAATTGATGAATTGGACTTCATCAAAATTACACTGTCTTCAAAAACTTACTAAGAAAATAAATAGGCAAGCCAAAGATTGGGGAAAATATTAAGAAAACCTGTTGTATTAGACAACATATTCGTATCCAAAACATGAAGAATTTAACAACTCAATAATAAGAACAATCCAAATTTTTTAAAAGGCAAAAGACTTAAAAATTTTGCCAAAGATATATGAATACCTAAGAAACCCAACATCAGTTACCAGAAATGCAACTTAAAACTATAATAGGATACCACTGAATACCCACTAAAATGGCTAAAATTTAGAAGACAAATAAATATGTTCTGGCAAGGATTTGGACCATCTAGAACTTGTGTTGTTTTAAAATGGCATAACCATTTGTGATAAAATAAATATTCTTGTATACACATCATTTGTGCATATGTCTAGGGTAAACTCCTTGGATTGGAATTGCTGGGTATAAGGGTTTTAAGTTTTATAGCACAAAACTGTTTTCCACTGAACTTGGGCCGTTTTATATTTCCATCGGCAATGTTACGTATGCAAGTGCTACTTTCCCCACATTCTTATCGACAGTGTACTATCAAAACTTTCCATCTCTGCCAATCTGAGAAATGGCATTTCACTGTGGTTTTAATTTGCACTATGTATCTTTCCATATGTCTAAAGAAATTTGTATTTTTTTTCCTATAAAGTTGGCCCATTTTGTTGTTAGATTTATGGTCCTGGTAATTGAAAAATGCTTTATATATTAAGGAAATTAACCCTTAGTTTGTGAAATATGTTGTACTTTCCTAGTTTGTCTGTCTTTCGACTGTGTGTGCTATGCTCTTTTACCATGGAGAAATCTGGTAAATGGTCAAATTTATCATTTTTTAAAATGGCATCTGGGCTTTGTAATATAACTAAAAAGGTCACTTTCACTCCAAGATTATAAAAACATTTTCATGGTTTTTTTCTAGTACTTTTATGGTTTCACAATTTTGCATTTACACTTATGCTCCATCTGGAATTTATTCTGGTGTAAGGTAGAAGAAAAGGATCCAACCTAATTTCTTTCAGATGTTTACCAAGTGGCCTCAGCATCATTTTTTAAGCAATTATCATTTTCCCCACTGATTTAAAATTTAAAATGTCTTTTTGATAACTTACTAAATTTCCAAATATATTTAGATCTCTTTCTGCACTTTCTATTTATTCTGTTATACTTCTGACTGTGTAATCATGCACCAGTGCCATATAGGTTTAAATATTAAAGCTTTATATTATATTTTAATATAATATCTGGTAGAGCTAAACCCCCCCCTTATTGCTCTTCATCTGCAGAATTTTCTGATTCTTCTTGCTTAATTATTCTATGATTCTGCATTTAGTACAAAAAGATTACCAATATGAATAAGGAAACAGTAATAAAAATGGATGGTGTATCCTGTCTATTGTGATGGCAGCATATAAAAGAAGAGAATCCCAAGAATGTCTAGTAAAAGGGAAACATATCATCTTAAGTTAAAAAAAAAAAAACAAGAAAAAACAAAATAAAACCCCAAACATACAAATGACACCATTTTCTAGTTTAAGATAGAACTAAATGCTGACCGGCTGAGATGCACAGACCAAATTTCGGGGAGGAGGAGGGGGGAGATCAGCCATCAACTATGAGTCTCTTAAGATAAAAACAGATACATTCCCCGCAGATATGCTGATTCATTAGCAGCCACCTGAATCCAGGGCCTGGATTTAACAATGATGCTGACAATAAAAAGTACTCAGTCAATGAACATGAAATGACTCCTCACTATGCGGCAGGCACTAGGTGCTGGGGAAAAAAGATGAACAAATGCACGTCTCTAGATAATTCACAGTCTACTGGGAATGACTGACCTGGAGAAAGATAAAGCACACATAAGAATATATTAAGTGTGATCATGCACAACTGTCCAAAGTTCCTAAATTTCCACAATGTTCTTTGAAGGCAGTACTTAATATTTTATTTTTAACTCTTTAAATACTCAGGTTATCTCACTGAAAAACCATACATGTACACATTTTAACTTCTGATCATCCAAAATCAAATTTTAGATTAGGTTAAAACATTATTTTTCTCCTCAGTACAGGCTTATTTCAGTGCTTTAAATACTGTCTCAAGCCATCAAAGAATGCAAAGAGTTTTATGAAATAAACCACTTTGAAATGTTACGCTTTCTAAGCTTAGCTGGTAGAGAGTTAAGTGCCCAAACTACTTGCAGTTCAATTTAAAGTTGCCAACACAAATGAAAAATGCAGAGGCTTGAAAGCTGCCCTGCCTTTCCAGCTAAGAAAATGAGAAAGGTCTGTATTAAGAATGTAATTACTTAAGGATTTGGACATACTTTCCCATGGTCAGAAGGAAAAATATTTAATCAACCTCTAAGTACATTCATTCATGTTGGAACAATGAGGTAAAAGCAGATTAATTCTCTCCTAGGGTGCTGACTTTCTGTAAATAAGAAGAAATCTGAGTTACCACAGATTTCTAAAGTATTCAAAATTTTGAAAATGTGATTGGTCTGACAGGCCTTATCTTACAATTGTTCAGAACTTTCTTTCAATTTGATCTACATGTTAGAAGATAAACTCTAGATTCCCCCCCACGCTGTCCCCAAGAAGCCCACTCAACAAGGACGGCACCAGAGGGAAATTTTACCTAGCAAGGACACCTATTTGAAGAGGGGAGGCCACAGGAGAGGATAATGTAGTTCAAGACAAGATGCCTGGAAAAAGTAAAGCTGTCTTCTAAAAAGCCTAAATGTAGAGGAGGAAATGCATGTGTTTCATCATTAATTAAACACTTCTGGTGAGGTGTAACTACCCAAGTCAAAGTCCTCAAAGAGAAGTAAGTTCA